CCCATCAACTAGAGACTGGATAAAGAAAATGTGTTTTTTTCACAAAATGGAGTACCACTCAGCCATAAAAAATGAGAAATTAGAGACATTTATTGCTAAATGGATGCACATTGAGATGATACTCTTAAGTGAAATAAACAGGGCACACATGTAAATACTGAATAGTTTCTCTAGTGTGAGAAACTGGAAGTGTAAATAAGGACTAAAAGGCATGATAGATAATGTGAAATAGGAAGAAAAGGGGCAAAGGGGAGGGGGAAGTGGGAGGGGGAGGGGACAGGAAAGAAGGAAATGGAATTAATATGAGAAAATTAAAAAATGGAAACAAAGTCTTTATAAATAGGAAGGGATGGAGGGGTTGAAGGGAGGGCAGGGGAAGGGGGAAAAATAAGAACCAAGAGATTATGTAAAGGTGCGTATCTCCAATGATGAATGTCATTATGCTGTACACCTAAAATGTACCAATAAAAGGATATACAAAAAAATAAAATAAAAATCTCCTAAGAAGATAATCCTTAGCTGGCATCTGGTAACTTGGACTTGGGGGAAGTTCTTACACCTCAGTGACAAAAAGGGCTTGCTGTACCTAAACCAATAGCACAAGCAATGTGTTTTATGCTAAACACCTGAATAATTCTGGAATTATGTGGTAGGCAGAGGGTGCCTGTGCCCCGAGTAAAAACCCTGCCTACTGAATCTGTAATGAGCTTCTCTGGCTGACAACATTTCACATGTGTCTTCCCGATTGCTTGCTGAGAAATTAAGCACGTCCTGTGTAACTCCATTGGGAGAGGATAATTAAAATCTTACACTAGGTTTCCTCTGGACTTTTCCCCATTTGCCTTTTATATGTGTGACTTTGTATCCTTTGGCTGTAATAAATCATAGCTGTAAGTATGGCTGCACGCTGACTCCTGAGTCCTCCTGGTGAATAACTAAATCTGGGAATGTTCTTGGAGACCCTTGCACATCAATCAGCATATCAGGTAAAAGGTGTACAGAACCCATTAGAGGAAGACTTGAACACAATTACTTTTTAGTTTTCTCCTTGTCTTATCCTCCTCTTTTGCCTACTTTTCCCTCTTTCTCTCCCTTCCCACCTTCTTCACTTTCTCCTCCTCCTCTCCTCTCTCCTTCTTCTTTTTGTGGTGCTGAGGATTGAACCCAGGGGCTTTGAATTGAGCTACATCTTCAGTCCTTTTTAAAAGTTTTATTTTTGAGACAGTCTTGCTAAGTCACTAAATTGCCCAGACTGGGCTTGAACTTGTGATGCTCTTGCCTCAGCCTCCCAGAGGGCTAGGATTATAGGTGTGCGCCACCATGCCTGAGTCTGATTGTCCTTTATAAGAAGTTAAGGAGTTGGAACATTTGAATACATGAAATATTACAGAATGTGGTTGGGAGACCCAAAGCACTAGAGTTGAGGCTAACTGGCAGATGAGGCAGACTTCTCAAAAGACCCCTGTGAGAAAAGGTTATATGAGTACCTTCTAAAGAGGTTCACAGAGGAAGACTAAGGGAAGTTTGAAGGATTCAGTATAGAAGAAAGACATTCCTTAACAAAATTCAAGGCCAGATCTTGCAAAAAAGAATGAGACAAGGGCTCATCTTGCCTCAGTCACATTAGCTGAGGAGGCTAAAATCAAGAAAACAAAACAAAACAAAAACCCCAAAAGTTTAGTATTAGTACAAGGACAAACTGCTTTCTTAAACAATATTGCTCTTGATAAAACTGCAGTCAGGAATCATTTTAGGGACAAAAAGTTCATGAATGGAGAGTGAAAAAAGGATTGCATCATTGAGCAGTATTTTTCTTATTCTACCCTTTATGTTTTTTTCCGTAAGTAAAAAATTAACCTCAACCCTTTATTTTCATACATAAAAATAACTTGAAAAGATCTATTAACCTAAATATGAAAGACTAAAACCATAAAACTTTAAGAAGAAATTAAAAGGGAAAATGTTCATGAATTTAGGGCAGGCAAGAACTACCTAGGATACAAAAAACATGATATACATATATCACTGTGGTATGATTCTTTTAAT